CAAATACTCTCAAAGGCAGGAGGTTATGCGGAGATAATGCTGGACTTCCACCAGTCCCAGCAGCAAATATTAGGAGTGCCCCACTCTGCATGCAGCCCAGGAGATACACAGATAACATAAATCCCTGCCTCCGGGGAGCTCACCTTGGCCAATGGAGGCAGTGCTAGTGCCGGGAGGAAACTGAGGCCAAAGACGAGAGCTGGAAAGGCCCGAGGGTAGGGACACATGAGTCCTCAGGTGCAGATTAAAATAAAAGTGTCACCAGGTTCAAAACAGCAGGAGCACCTGCTGACAGAAGGCGCCTTAGAAATTTCCAGAAGGGAAAGCAAGTCTGTGGCTGCCACGAACAGAACGAAGGGGGAGAAGCCTTTAGGTCTCTGCTTAGAAACTGGCCTGGCACCCCACCCATGACTGCCCCAGCCTGTCCCCTCGGGTGGGATCAGAATGGCAGCTCCGTGAGGGGAGGAATCGAACTTGGCTCCCAGAGGCAGGTCCCACAACAGCAGGCGCCTCGCACACAGGACAAGTTCAATGATATTGCTGAGTAAACAAAACCAATGAGATTCTTTGGAAGTCATTTGATTTTCAGGAGAAATGTGTGCTCTTTCCTCAAGGAAAAATGAAGCAGGCATTGCCAGCTGTGCTAACGTGAGGTGGGCAGGGACTAGGTATGACCGACACATACACCTATCCTTGCAAAAAGAAGCAATGGAAGGATGAATCAAAAACTAACTTTTGGGCCCAGCCGGCGTTGCTCAGTGGTTGAGCATCTACCCAGGAACCAAGAAGTCGCAGTTTGATTCCCGGTCAGGACACATGCCCAGGTTTTGGGCTCCATCCCCAGTAGGGACTATGCAGGAGGCAGCTGATCCATGATTCTCTTTCATTCAGGTTTCTCTCTCTCTCTTTCTCTCTCTTCCTCTCTCACTAAAAGCAATAAAAACATTTTTTAAATGGTTACTTTATAGAAGAAAGGAAACAGGGTGAGGGGATGGAGAGCTAGACATCCCTGAATACGCCTGGTTTTAGAGTTTGACTGTGAAAGCATGTTTTATGTAACAAGATTATATTGAAAAAGGAGGGGGAGGTAAAGCAGTGTCTAAAGATGGAAAGCAATGAATCTGACCTTGCCATACCTCCCAGGTCATTTCACTCTCTACGACTGTCCCCTAGAGGGACCCCCTGAGCAGACCTGTGAGCACTGGAGACTCGATAACACTGGCCCCACCCCAGGCTCCTGATTCAGCAGGCCTGGGCCCAGCCTGATAACCTGCACTCCTACCCAATTCCCATGGTGATGATTTGCCATCTGGGGCCAGAGTTGAGAACCACTGCTATAAACAAGTAAAACTATATAAAAATTTTTTTTTGAAAACTTCATTTATGTAATCATGTTATCACTAATAACAGCATCAGGATTTGTTACATATAAAGGGTGTCCCAAAATTCACGCAAGATTTGAATTTTGTGTGAGCATTAACAACAACAAAAAATAAAAGCCAAATTTTACTTGGTTTATTGAATCAGATTCTAATATCTGTTGCCCTTTGATTTCAATCCCTTCAATTTGATAAGCATCACCAAGGACCAATTATGGCCCAGGAGCAGGGACAATGAAGACCAATGAAGACCACGCCTTTGCGTATGTGCCAGCAAAGCCGTGGAGGCCATTTACCCGATGTGCTATTCCATATATAACCCTACACTGTATACTTTATGAATCAATAAAAAGTTTACCATTTTTAATTATAAACCTGTGTTTCCTATCAAAATTACTTCTTACGTGAATTTCGGGACACCCTTTAGTAAGGTAAAGTAGGTTATCATGTTAATATCATCAGAAACCCAGGGTTTCAGAAAAACAAAATATGAAATCAAGATGTGTTTCTTACATTGACATTTCTGTCTCTCCCTCCCCTAAAAAATCAAGGGGAAAATATTCTCAGGTGAGGATTTACAACAAAATAGCATCATCTTAAAGAGGTATTTTCCTTCAATAATAAATGTTATTTCAGAGAGAGAGGGAGAGAAACATCCATGAGAAACAGACTGGCCGCCTCCTGCACACCCTCTCCTGGGGGATCAAGCCTGCAACCCAGTGACCTCCTGGTGTATGGGGATGATGCCCAACCAACCGAGCAAAACCAGCAGAGCTGAGGTATTTTTGTGAAAGAAAATATGTATTTCAGCTCCGGAACTGAAGCAACACAATGATGCACCCCTTCTCCCCAGACTGTTCGCAATCACCATTTCCCATCAATGGAACCCAGGGTCGTGGAAAATGTCTCCAGGTCTGCATCTCAAGTGTTCAGGATGAACCCAGAAAGTCTCATAGCAAAAAGCTAAGAAGCCTTCAGACCGTTGTCTCAAAACGCAAACACAGCCGAAACCGGTTTGGCTCAGTGGATAGAGCATCGGCCTGTGAACTGAAAGGTCCTGGGTTCGATTCCGGTCAAGGGCATGTACCTGGGTTGCGGGCACTTCCCCAGTGGGGGATGTGCAGGAGGCAGCTGATCGATGTTTCTCTCTCATCTATGTTTCTAGCTCTCTATCTCTCTCCCTTCCTCTCTGTAAAAAATCAATAAAATATATTTTAAAAAAAAAAAAAAAAACGCAAACACAGAGCCAACTTAGAGGAGCCTGTTGGCCAGAGACAGGAGACTGAGCGTCAAAAGTCCATCCGGCAGTCGTGTCTGGAAGATGCTGGTTGGTCCCCAATCTGGTGACTCCTTTACATTTAAGCTGTCAGGGGAACCAAACCACAGTGAGGTCTTCACAGGAGTCCAACTCACAAATGCGTAAGGAATGACAGACTTTATTACAAAATCACCTTGTGTAACATTCTCAACGTTCACGGATTGCTAAAACCCAGAGGAGGGCGGTTGATGGGAAATTCGATACAGGTTGCTCATTGGGACTTCTGAACCCACCAGCCTGACTTACCACTGCAGGTTGGAAAGCCCCGTGCTCTCTGTGTCCAGTGGTGACGCCATAGAAGTCCATAGCCCCCCCGCCCGCCAATCTAAGCTCCAGTCTACCTTAAACCTCTAGCTGAAGTGACCAGTTCATAATATACAGAGGCTGGAGAAACAGGTTCGAGGAAACCACACACAAGGATGCAAGAAACCCAAACAAGAATGCGTAGGACCAAGGATCCAGTTTCTTAGATGAAATGTTGCCCAGGGGTCAGACCAGTTAAACTTTTGTTTCGACCCTGAGTGAACCTACGAGCTGTGAGATGGCAGCCGGCTCGAGGAACCTTGGCCATTCAGCCACGTGATCATAAAAAGCGCTGTTTTAGGGATGAAATTACATCAGTCTGAGATTTGCTTTAGAAAGCTGGGGGGAGAGGGGCAGGGAGGCGCAGAAAGACACAAAATGTTGCTCAGGATGAGGGTAGTCATTATACTAATCTCGCTACTATCGTGTCTGTTTAAAATTGTTTATAAATAAATGAAACAAAATCGGAAACCGAACACAATCAAGACCAGAAACCAAGACTGCAAAACACCAAATCTATATTTACATCCACATATAATAACATAACTTTAAGCTGAAATATATCATAAATAAAACAAGTAACATCTACTGTTTGACAACTTACGTATCAACAATTAAAATAAATCAAACTGGAAATAAATACATAAACAAAAATCCAACAGATTGTACCTCTATTATATGTACTGTTGTCCCAAAGGAAAAAAACATACAAAACCAGTAGTATCCCAATAGTTAATACTGATGGACAAAAATAATAACAACAACATATTTTGGAATACAAGGGCTGTGAAAAAGGAAAAAAAAACTGGTATTTTTAT